GGAGCCAACAGCTTGAATGGGTACAGCAGAGGCCCAACATGGCTCTTCACCATACTAATGACCCCTTGAGGGGATTTGGGAAGGAAAGAGGCGTCTGCGGCATCGAGATCCCATTTTCCTCTGGTCTGGGGATCATTGTGTCACTGCTGACTTCCAGAGTCACGCCTCTACCTCCCCAGCCAATTCCAGCTGAACAGCCCACTTTAAAAGTTACCCTTTAAATGGCCACATTTTCATTTTTCTTCATTAACCTTTTGAGTTAAAACCAAAACAAAAAAGAAGAACTGCACCCCAATTTCATTTGAAGATTGACTGAGTCATCAGACGTTCTCTATTATAGCGTCTATATAAATACCAGAGGACATGTAATGACTTGTAGGGATTTGAACAATTCCCTGTTTGTTGTCTGACCTTTATGTGGTGTGCTTAAGCAGTGCCCCTGAGAAGTGCTTGACAACAGCATTCACTCACTTTATAGCCAGGAGACAATGTAGCATCAGCTGCAGGAATCAGGTTTAGTGCCAGGCTGCATTTTGCATAAGAACCTGAACTCTGTTTTTCCAAAGAGAGAAAACTCTGCTCTTGAGGACGGCATTTCAAAGGGTGAAATAAGAAGAATCATGGAAAAGCATTTTTAAATAGTCATTTTCTTGCTCTCAGTCCGTATAATACAAAGCTAAGTTGAAATAACACTCCTCCACCCCCCACCCCACCCTTTTTTGAAGATTGGAAATCACATCTGTATCAAATAGCCTCTAGGTTTAATGGTGGACTGTGTAAGCTGATCCTCTACATTTACAGAGCCTCCTAAAAAGATTCAAAGAAATCTCCTGGAGCTTGGCTGAAAGGAAGGAAACCAAAGCTAGACAGAATAACTCGTATCATTTGATTCTTGCAGTGGAAGCGAGAGGGACAGCGAACAGAAAAGGAAACTGCACCAGATAAATTAAATTCCACATGTAAGAGGGTACAGGTATGATAGGGGTGATGAACGCCTCCATGCTGATTATTATTGAGCCCAGTTGCATGGAAGGCAATTACGGCCAGGAGCTTGTCGTGAATACAACCCGACACCTCGCTACAGTCACTGACGCTCTCTGAGTACTGTCCACCAGCAAACTATCCAAACAGCTTCCTTGCTTTGCATTTATTTATCCAGCAATTGTTATGCTTTTTTATTTTTATTTTCCTTTATTTATTTTTTTTGCGATGGCATATTAGTAGTTAACATCAGTTGCAACCAATGACACATTAGAGGGCATGCAGATGATGCGGTGAAATAACCAGCGACACTTGCAAAGTCTATATCTCTCCCGTGCATACTACCTCCTCCTGGCTGAACATCATACAGCCCAATCACCACACATCCTGCTTCAGGCGTCCACATAGGCTCATCCTCCCTTTCATAGGAGCTGGCAGTTATCACAGCTGCCTCCTCCGGCTGCATGTGGCCACGTGTCTGGGAGCAACACCCACCAGTCTTAACAGCACAATACCCAAACTGCTCAATGGGAGCACTTCTTGCTTGCCCGGTCAACAGGCCAACGTGCAGCATCCACACGACGCGGCCATATGTTCATATTGTTCGACTCCTCGCTTTTGAGAAATCCTCCATCACTTCATCAGTGGTGTAACTGAGCGTTTCTGTCACTTTGCCTGTGGCGTGTTTGCCAGTATGACATTTTGACACTTTATCAACATAACTCAGAAAGCTGTTACGCTGTCCCCTGAATCACCTTTCACCGATGTCTGTGACCTGATTGATCCAACACTTCATGGGTGTATTGACCCAGTATGCACTGTACTCTGGGGACACACTTAAGCGCTGTGGCTGCCTTCACACAACAGGGACCAGCAAAGCTTAAAAGACAAGCAGAGTATCACAGAAACGGCACATTTTGCGACCGAGTTTTCAGGAACAAAATTATTTTGCCTTTACACATGACAATATATGCACACAACAAAACAAACACCTGTTACTTGTTTATTGTTTAGTGGCATAAAGCTGGGCTTACCAATATGTCCCTTGAACTGTAGTTTTGGTTGTCTGCTACTATCAAATATGAACGTGCCAAGAAATAGTTCAAAAATTTTTCATATCCTCCTGAGGCCCGGAAAAATTGTTTTGATAATTGAAGTATTGTGGTTAAAAGAAAAACGTTACAGCATGTGGATTTCTTGTCAAATATATGTTTATTGCATGAACAATAAAACGAGGAACTGATGGAAACACATCTGAACACTGTTTAGAAGGCATTATTCTTTCCCCCCCTATGTCAGAGACATCAAGATCATTTATTACTTTGATGGGCCGCCTCATCTTGAAGAATCTGTCTCAGCTTAGTGAACTGGCTATAACTAGGACCCAGTGTATCTGGATCCTAGACTATCTGAGTCTTGCAATAAGCAGATATGTTCTGAACAGTGTTTCCACCCTCAAAACAACAAATGTTCTGGAGATGAGCACCTTCCTGTGGTTTTACATGTTTTTTCAGAAACCTGGTTGCCCATGTAATATTTTATGTAAGCAGAGAGCCTCTAGGCTTGATGGCTGTGGTTTGTCCTGTTTTCACGTTTCAGCCCATTTTCAACAGGGTTGAAAGTAAAGAGTGTAAAGAGTAGAGAGGTACAGTTTAATGCACTTTTATCAAATATATCATCAATGATACAAATCAGCAAATGAATTCATTTAATAAACCAAGTCTTTTGCTGATTATGCACTCGATGTTTAGCCTCCTGACACCCTTATAATGTTCTGATATTTAGATTTTCTTATACATAATTGAACTATTGTTTTCTAAAGAAACATGCATCAAGTAATATGTCAAAACTGGAATTTATTTAAATTTCATCTTCTGTCCCTTGAAGTGGACATCAGATCTCACTTGATCACAGAATGATATGATGGCTGAGTGAGGCACACAGGATTTCATTCAGAACTGTGGAAATTGAGTCAAGTTTTCAGGAGATGAAGTGGAGGAGGAGTGGGCATTAGAACAAGAAGGTGAAGGTTCAGACGGAGGGCATACCAGGTTTTGAGGAGCCTCACCAGGACCAAAGTGACGACACCTAAAGTCCATTATGGATAAGAAGTATTGTGTAAGCTAGAGCTCTGAAGATGTTTCTTGACCAATCCCACATGAAATCATATTTTTTACGGCAGCCTCTTTAACAGAGTTCCCACTTTCCAGTGGTCTTCCTTCTTTTCCTGCATATCAGTGACAAGAAGATTATTTGAATCTGCCTCAACTTATTAAATAGGCTATAACTAGTACCCTATTTTCTGTCTGATGTAATCAGACAACCACATTTGGTGGTTATCCTGCTTTAATATTTCATGCTAAAAAAACAATTTCAACCCAGTTTCAGTATGATATTAATGCTACTTTCAGACACTCTCTGGTTTGTGAGCTCTAGCATGGTTTTGTAAAACCTGGTTGCCTAATTTTTGTTTGGTGGTTGTGGGCAGCGTTGTCCTGTTTCATCCTATGTGTGTGTTTGACTGTGTGTATGTATGTGAATTCAGCTGAAGAGGTTTTCGTTTGTCCTTCTAGATATCATAATGCCTGAAAACTTCAGAGCCCTACATCAAACAGTTCTTTTTATTATAGATGGTAGGTGCCTTCACACAGTCCTGCTCGGGCTCCTCGAAAGCTTGTATCTCATCTTTTGAGCTTTCACCTTCCTGCCGGTGGTTGTGGGCAACGTCGTCCTGTTTTTATGAGTCATGTTCAAAAAATGTTCAACCCAATTTCATCAATCTCATTAATTTCATAAAACCCAATTATCTGCAAATTTTTCATCGCAACCTCCCTTGTTGCAATAAAATGTGGAAGCTGCTCCTTGAAAAGAAAGTCTATGTAGTGTGTTAGTCAAGCCCCCTCAGATGTGACATCACTAGAAAGCCCAGGATGTCCTCTTGTCAGTACAGTAAGGCTCAAATACATCGCATAAATTGTGCTTGACGCAGAGCTCTCAAAGCACGTCCTCCCACAGAGGACAAGAATGAATGGCTGGGTCTTGTGCCCATTATCAAGATGGCAAATTGCAATTGTAATTTGATGCACACTGAACCACCTTATTAACATTTTAATGCTAATGATGAGAATGTTGATGAATTAATTATCTTTAATGAATCTGTTAATATTTTAAAAAATATTTTAAAAGATGGAAACAGGAAGTGCAAGGTCTTTTGCTAACTGGTGAGTTAAATAAATGTTTTGGTCTTTGTCTTCTTTCTTTTGCAGATGACTGATTATTTGTTTATCATTAAGACTATAATGAAAAAGACAAACAAACAAATAAAAAACCCCAACAAAGCCCCACATTATCAATTTACTGCGTAATTCCGTGATTAATTGGATCTGTGATGACCGAGTTGATAAAAGCAAAGTATTTCATTTATTCATTGGTTTATCTGTTCAAACCCAGAGATTTCAGTTATCATGTTGACTAATGACAATATTTGCATTATTACAAATGAGCTCTTTTCTTTTTTTAGCATTGTCAGTACAACTGACTGAATGCAGAGCAGTATCAGATGATGGAATCATATATTAATCATGCAATTCTGTCTTCACGCAGTATATCAGTTAATTGCACATTTTCATTCTTTATACAGCCAAATTGGAGCGCTGTCTACCAAACATGCAGTTAGTTTGTGTATTGGTGCTGTGTGTGTCCAAAATTAAACTGCAGAGCATTCTTTGTCAACAGAGTAACCTCTGGACAAGCGATGTTTAGAGAGAGGAGATTAGATTAACGCTTGCTCGGGCGCTAATAAATCTGGAGTCGTGAATAGAGAGGGAGATTATGCGCGAAGGAGAGAGGAAGTAGAAGAGAGGGGATTTTCTTTTTAAAAAAAAAAGCACAAAACTGCTAGTAATTTCACCCATGAGAGAAGTTGAGCAGAGAACTAACAGGAAGTCTTCTCCCTCAAGAGGAAACCAAGTGTTGTTACTGTAAAAACAGCTGACCTCGTGCCTTTCTGTCGGGAAGGAATGCACGCAGAGGAGACAGACAGAGAGATAAACAGGAATCATACAGTACAGAGGATCACCCTCCAGTGCAGACGCACGGGCTCTCTCTCTCGCTCCCTCCCTCTCTCACTTTTTCTCTCACTCGCCCACTTAGTATCATTTCATCTCTCTCTCCCTCTCTCTCTCACCACACTCTCAGTCGCTGAGCTCTAACGGATGGGGATACACCGCCAAGGAGGACTTAGGGGTGAGAAGTGTGTGTTTCTTCTCTTCTCTGGTGTGTTTTCGTTCTCTTCCGCCTGGCTTCCCTCATGAGCTGTTAATTCCAGCCCTGGTCTTGAGGATGAGGAGGATCTGTTTGTGAGGAAGACGCAACAAAGGAAGAGAGAACAAGGAGCAACAGGGTGGCAAATTCTGCAAGCGGGAGTGAGCAAAAATATCTTTTCTTTTTCTCCAGGCTCAAGCAAGGTTGGTAAGGGAAGCTTCTTGTTATTGAAATAAACAGTGCCTGCTATTATTGTTCTATGTCTATTACTTAGTTTAATTTCTAACAAGACATATTTAAAATATTTCCCTCCCTCCTTTAGAGCTTCAGTTAACTGTCCCTGCAGAGCATTTTTCTAAATTGAGAACATTTTATTTTTTTTAAAGTGCCTAGAAACATTTGAGTCATATTTCTTTCTAATAAAGCAAGTCCCCAGGTTGGATACTCAAGTGTCACTACAGGTCAAAACTACTGTGTAATTTCCCTAAGGCATACAGTACAATTCTCAGGTGGAGTCTCCCGTTAGCAAGGTGGCGGAGACTGAGCTTCAGGAAAAGGCGAGGACAGCTCGCTCTCATCGCCACTCCTCAGCTGTCACTTTACACAGGAGGCAATTAAGCGGGATTGGCAGCTGACGCTGCCGGTAACTTAGAAACAGGCGTGTGGGAGACACATGGTGGCACATGATAGGATTTAGAGGAGGAAGGAGATTCCTTTTGTTCGTTCACACAAAATCCTGCTCCTCTGTGAAAAATCCTGCTCTCGCCTGGGTGTCTGAAACCTGGCCCACAGGCAGCAGTTGCGAGCTTTTATGATTTTGCTCAACAGTGAACATTGTTCAAGTGTGTTTACTCTTAAGGGTATGTGCGTAGACAGAGTGTGCGTGCTATGTGTGTGGCTGTGTGTTTGTTCTAGTGTGGACTGGATGTATTGAGACTCTCAAGTGAGCCCTCACCTTTCATTTCCATGAGTGGAAGAAATTATTCAGTCAAACAAAAGAAGCAGAAAAATTATTTTAATAAACACCACACCTCCCTTCCAAATATTGTGATTACTCTGTGAATCATTGGGTACCTTTGGGTAATTTCTGTACCCTATGAATGAGCAGTTTTATAATTTGCATAAATAAATAGGCTCCCCAAGGACTCTGGCTTTGTTTAGCTTTTGCTTACTTACAATATGTGACTGAAAAGTCCCTTTGAAACCTTTGAAGAGCTATTCTGCTGACTATTTGTCACAAAACCTTCTTGCTGCTGTTTTCCGGCACTTATAGAAGAAGTGTGCCTTCAGATGCAAAGGTTGGCCTCTGTCTGGTGGCAACAAAGGGGCTCTGATGGAGGCTTAAGGGAGCCGATGAGCCATGAAGTTTGTTAAATATTCGGGTTTGATGGGCAGTTTGATTAAAAATGTATTCTGGGAAGACGCCAGGGAACAAAGTATTGTGTTCACAGTGTAAACACAGGTGGAGGCATGAAAGTGCAGTTGGTCTGGACTGTGCGTGTATGTGTTTTGACACAAAAGAAGGGCTGTTGCATCAGCCAAAGTCTACCTTATATTCATTTCAGTGACAGGAAAGTGGTGTTTATATAGAAATCCCTAAAGTGAAACATTTTGCTCTTAAAAAGGATTGCCCAGCAGCACACTAGAGCTTTGTGTTTAGTCCTGGACTTCACATGTTTGCGTCACTCACACAAAGTCTCCTTCACAGGCAGGACAGGACATAACCATGACCGTCAGTCATTACTTGAGCACAATTTCCTCTGTCACCTTGTCTCAAGCGCACCCCGCCACTCCACTGCGCCTCACAGGGACAGCCATGCTGAGTCCATCGGTGACCAGCTGACTGTCCCAACTCAGAAAAGTCATTGACATTGAAAGGGTACTGATGTGTGCATGCTGCGTACAGTATACACACTCTTATTTCACCAAGGCATATACTTGAATACACACATCCGTGCACAAACGTAGACACACACATACACGCGCTCACATCAGCAGAGGTGGAGCCAGCAGAGGCGTCGTGACCACTGGCTTGGCAGGAGTCCTCAAGGTGAAAATTTTTAGTGAGGAGCATTTCAAATTCAGAACAGATGATCAGACCGGTGTTGAAACTGCAGAGTAGCTGGCGGCACCAGATGCAGACAATCTTTTGGCAGAGGAAGAGTTTTTGGTGCCTGAGTCTCAGACATAAAAAGTCAGAGGCGCTGAGCTGAAATTAATACAACTGTGGTTATCACTGTGTTACGGACGCTGGTTCTTATCGCGGTCCAGATGAGGCACAAAACCTCAGCTATACGACCGTCATCACAGCACACGTAATCCAGCCATGTATCTAGACATAACAGAGTGCAGACAGAGAAGGTTATTTAGAAGTAAACACAAAGTCAAACGCCGTTTCAGAGTCTCTCTCTGGTCATTGCGAAATTGATGTTTATTTCCCACTAAACGGAAGAAAGCTTTGAACATTGAGCACTGAGCATAAAATACTGGGTAATATTTACTTAATATAAGCCAAGAAGCTACTTACCAGTTCTTTGCCATTAATTCAGTTCAATTCAGTTTTATTTCTGTAGCGCCAAATCACAACAAGAGACGCTTCACGGAGCTTTATATTGTAAAGTAATGACCCTACAATAATTGAGATAAGTATACACAATGTCACAATTTAACCTCAATAATAAATCTTATTTGAATATCTTCTAATTGCTTCCCACATCCTTAATTCCAAAATAGACATATTCTGAATGTGCAAAGACAAAATAACAGCAAAAAAAACCCTCTGAAGTGAACAACACAGACGCACAAAGAGGCAGAAAAGCTCCAGTGAAGTCAGCACCACTCTAGGTTTACAGGCGACTGTAACAGCTTGTCATGAACTACGGGTCAAAAAAAAGAAGCTGTCCTGCACAGTTAGTACAATGTTCATCATTTTGTACTTGCTATGTTTGATAAAACAACAGCAAAATTAAAAAAGAGTAAATGGGACTGATTGAAACTTACCTTAGTTAAGCTGTGGTCATAAAAGAAAAAAAATGAAAGGAAAAACTTTCACTGGTAGTTTCAGCTGTGAGTTAGATCAAACTCGTCCCTCTTTGAAGTAACCTCAATGTTTGCGTTAACATTGAGGTGAATTTCTGTAATACTTTTCTTGTTAAAGGGCAGCTACAAACCACATCGCTGCCAATTTACAAACCACATTGTTGCCTGTTTGACATTTGTGGGCAGAACACTCTACAGGTGGAAGTGGCCACATGAAGCGCACACACAGGCCACAAAAAATAAAATAAGAATGGGAAAAAAAGGTTTATTTTCACACTGTATGTTTATGTAAAAAGTTACAGTTTTACCGTTAAGTAATGATGATTATAATCCCTGATTAAACTTGTTGAATACTTTGTCCAAACGCAGCCAAGCATCACATTATTATATTTTAGAAGCTGTCTTGATATTTTTGCCTCGACGGTTAAACGATTACCAAATTGTTAGTAGTAAATGCGAATACTGCTTGCGAGACGGTC